AACAGTTAAATTGTAAAAAGGACCTTAAGGTGTGACAAGACATTCTTCAGTCTTTCGAACAAGACCCCCTGACTATATACCCAGCAGATGAAAGACAAAATATTAATTAAATGTTTGATTAACTGATTAAATTCCTTTAAAGTTCAATCAGGCAGAGAGTGGTGTGCCAAAAATTTTAAGTGTTTAAATTTGAGAAGGTATAAAAGCTGCTCCATCCATTGGGAGAGTTTTAGATAGAAAGAGGGTGAGCAGAACGCCACAGCATGTGAAGTATGAAGTGTTACTATGACAGAGCAGAACAAAGCTTGTACTACATGATGGCTCAACAGGAAACACGTTTGTGAATAACACGTTTTTTTTTACCGCAGATGGAGTGGCGACGTTTTTGCTTACCTGGCTGTAAGGGTTGCTTCTCACTTGTTGCTTACAGTACATTTTATACTACTTCACCTGTTTCACCATTTGTCCTTTAACAACTACAAACAAATGTGTATTGGGATTGGATGTCTTATGGCAAAAATTTATATATAATTATGATAAAAGCACTATGATTACCTTAGATCTTTACAAATAAAGTTAATATGATAACCTGTCAATGAAACCAGTGCAATTAAAAACTTATAGATGTTACTTAGTAAATTGAGAATAAGATTTAAAGGGAACTTGATAGGTGAGTTAGGTTAAATTCAATGTCTTTGACTTTAAGTTGATGGATTAAACAAAGTGTTGTTAAAAACTGAAGACTATGGCACACCTGAGACAATACTTCATTCAGATAATTCTGTCAAGGGGCTCGGTTTTGCAGTGATAGTAACTCTGGCGGAGCGACAGTGATCCACAGCTTAGATAGGAGATTTCTTCTAAAGGACAAGTACCAGTCGTGCTCTTCACATATATTGCCTTAAGAGAAAAGTGTCTAAAAATGTGGTGTTTGCAGTTTGCCTCAGTTTGCCACACGCCATATAGAAGATGCAATAAACATAAACAAGAAGAGGGGTTTGTCCATATCAAATACTCTTTTAAGTAATAATCCTGGCTCTGCACATAAACCAGAACACATCATTAATACTTTAAGGTCCTTGCAGTATCATTGTGAGGGGATCATTCTTTCTGCAGAAATGAGAAGCTGTTCAGAGATTAAAATATAATTGAACAAAATGTAGGACAATCCTGGCAGAGGAGATGTTAGAAGCTGCAAATGACTTAAAATTTGGGCAGAAGTTCACTTTCAATTGGACAGCTATCCTAAATATACATCTTTGTGCTTTGATTGCATGCTTCAGATCAAAAGTTGTTAATTATTTAAAATCCTGTGCAAAGAACCGATTTAAATGCTCCATATGTGCAAACCCATTAAAGGCATACCAAAGAATCTTGGCTTTATTTATTTATTTATTTTTTTTAAGTTCAGATAGGTAGAATGAATATGTATAGCACACATTTAATGTTTATTTAAAACATTTTTTTTAATCCTGCAACAGATAGACAGGAGGATTTTAAAATGTTTAAGTCCACTTATGAGGTTTGTGCTTATTTATCTGTCACATTTCAAATTCAACACATGGTAGTCTTTTATTGCAAAACAGCAAAATAAGTTCAGAGGGGAATGAATGCACTTGTCAGCTACTGCAGCATTTTAGTTTAGCTTTATCAGCTCAATAAGTAAGGCACAGAGATCAGTATAGCAGAAATTATAGTCACTGTTCTCAGCCATGAAAGGATAGGCTGCCAGACACTGGGTTTTGAGTAAGCTGCAGCCTAGGGCACTTGAAAAAAACCTTTTTTGCTATATCAACTTTTGGAGCTATATCAACTTTGCAAAACAGTGCGGATGATATTTAAAAGTGTATTTAATATTTTTGTTTTGGTCTAAAGTTTACTTGTAAGCCTGCATTGTTTTGTTATTCCACTTGCCCCTTGATCTTTTGCCTGAAATGCTCCTTCTGTTTTGTGCTTTTCTATTTCATGAGCTTCCTTCCCTGTAAAATGTTACACGGTGAAACTCCATGAAAGCTCTTCTGCTCACACATTGATTTACATCTAGGATATTTATTCACTGACATATATATGTATGATTCGAATAAAAAGCATTTTATTACTGTAAACATTTAGAAACTCGAAAATGTGAGACACCTCTCTGACATTTTGGAACAGTTTATTTTAGAAGTGAGGAGCTTATTTACAAGCTGTAGCAGCATGAGTGCCTCCTCTTCATTCACAAAGTCTGGTTTATTGATTATCCTGCTGGTAATTAGTTATTGATCACTACCACCTTTTCTCTCTGGGTCTGATGGAAGATTTTAGCGTATAACCATAATTTAGTATGGCACTGATCCTTATTTTCTTCCAAACCCAAACTGAGTGAAAGATTTAGTGAACAAAAACAAGTGGAGGAGTGAGTAGATGGCTTGAGACAGAAGAATCGCATTCTCTCCTGCTCTGAGTGTTGACTCATGCTGCAGATCCTGCCTCACGAATATTAAGCTCAGAGCCAAAAGAATGAGAAGCAATTTCTTTTTTTTTTTTTTTTGATAATTTTTTGCTGGATGTATATGACATTCACATGCAGAGACTTTTTTATTGTGGGAATGATAAAAATAGTGTAAGACACCCTTGAAAGAAATGTGCTAATTCTAATACCCTGGCACCAGCCTTGATTGTTACTTATTAATCTGTAAATAATTAATAACGGAAAAAAAAAGGTTTGAATTGCAAACTTTAATTTTCTTTTTTCAAGGCTAAATTTAAACATAAAATCAACCAGACCATTTCTACTAAAACCAATAACAGCTTGTCGGTGATCTGATTCAATGACTTTGAGGCATAATTAGTCTGTTTGTTCTTCCAGAAACCATATGCAGATTTATTCAAGATCCAGTTGTTTTAATTCAATTAAATTCTCACAAATAATATCAATTAAAAAAAAATGTTTTTTGCATAATTGCCAGATATTTTTTTTACAATCTACATAAATAATGAATTTGCAGCTCTATTTATATTTCACTTTTCAATGATTACTATTCATTTCACAAATTGACAAATTAATACATGACAGCATTGAGGTTCCTTTGTGCAAACCTTTCAAAGTCACAAATCTTGTCAGGAACATTACTAAGGGATCATATTTTTATTTTTTTTATAAAATAGTAGACTTAATGAAAGAGGTTTAGACACACAAAGGTGCTGTGAATTTAAAGCTCAACACAGTAGGTGTCAGAGAGAATGAGAGCTTTTATTTAATTTATTTTATTTGATGACATTAGAGTTTTAATATTTAAGAATTGTTTAGAATTTTTTGGGGTTTTGACAACAATCTGTATCCATGTGAAATGAAGTAGCCCCTTGCTGTGCAGTGATAAGACATTCATTGCCCACCCCAGAGGGAGCAGCAAATATGTAATATAATCAAAAAATATTCAGAATGTCATATATTGTTCAGTGAACACATGCCCAATTAGCTGTGTGTTAAGACATCATATACATAAACTTACTACAACTGCCATTCAAAAGATAATTATCATTTTTTTTTTTTACATTCAACTCCAAGTCAAATTGATTTCTATTTAAAAAAAAAACTCTTAACTAAACTAGTGGAACTCAATAAAAGCTAAGCTGCGATGTACACATAAAGAACAAATTATTAATAATGATTGAAAAACCATAATTAATAAAATCTTGCTATGATATTACATTTCACCATGTTTAAGAAGCAACGTTTAAATTGAAAATTTTAAGTTTTTCACTTATCTAGAGTAACCGTAATGTTTTCAAACAAATTCACAATGCAAATTCTAGAGGTAAAGAAAGAAATCTTTTGGTAGAATAATATATTATCAAATGCTTTGCTCAATCAGAAATCCATAACCTTTAGTAGGGACTCGCTTTGCTTAATCAGAAATCCATAACCTTTAGTAGGGACTCTTTGGTCATTTTGGTAATAAAATGTGATGGGCATATGAGTAGATATAAATATTAATGTTATATCAGTGTTTAAACTTTTAGTGAACTAAAGTTTGTTTTTGTTACTTAGGCTGCTTCTTTGCCAGACCTGACACCTGCTACCTTTTGCAGGAATGGTTTTGCTGCATGTCTTAGAAATTATCGCCTTTTGTTTGATGTCCTTGGCGTGAAATCCAAACCCCTGCCATATATTGCTCAACCGAAACAACTTGCTGTCGCCATAGTATGTTTTCCGGTTGCTGTTGTGCTCGCACAGTGCAAAAAATGATTCTGTTTAGAGGAGATTTTTATGATGCATTCAAAGTGTTTGGGAAAAATAACACTCTCAGTGAAATAGATGAAGACGGCTTAATGTCGTCAAGTGAATTTGTACTTGATGGTTGCAATAGTCATGTTAACTATTGTTCGTGAGGAAATCTGAGATACACCGGGTATATTCTATATATCAATCACCGCTAGTTCTGAGACGTAACAAGCTCACATTTAGCCTTTGATCGGTTTGCAGATTCTGGTCTTTGGCTTGTATAGGATCACATATCCTCATGTCTCCTAATGGAGTTTCACTGTTTTTATTTCCTTTAAGTTATCTGCATCAGTTGTTATCTACATTCATCTGCTGCTATTTTAAAAGACACCCCTTAATGCATTACTACATCAAGCCTTAAAACATGAATATTCCATAGAGACCCTTTCAAAGGCCTCTCAGATCCCTGTTTTATTAGCGTTTCATTTACCTTCTGCTTATTTTCAGTAGTGTTTAGTGTTTGCATAGTTATTAGAGACAATCAGTTTGCAATAAGGTTTATTAGGGAATAAAGATACTAATAGTTTTACTGTGGTTGTCTGTGACTATTTATAACAGTGAACAATTTATAACTCAGAGCCCGATCACCCCCTTTTTGGTTAACTCTTGAAGAAACAGAGAGAGTTTCCTTTGGTTGGTAATCAATAACTCAGCTGTGTAAATTCTAAGTCACGACAAACAGGCTTAAATTGGTGTCATAAACTGGACAGACAGACCCAGTATTCAGGGCGAGTCAGACAGTGGGAAGATCCAAAATGTTTAATGACAGAAAATAAAACATTACAAAAACACGGGCTGCTGAGGATAATCGGACCGCAGCAGCTGCAGGGGGGTGGAGCGCAACCCATCACTAGCATTCTGGATGTGAGGGAAACACAGGTAAGTGACCACGGTCATCTGACAGGAGATGATTATCCGAGTAATACACTTACCTGGTTTAACAGTTCAGTCCATCTTCCTTTAAAGAGGTGCAATCCAGCTGAGCTGACCTCCCCCGTGTTCCAAGCCAAAACCCTGAGGGCTCTGCGGAGAAGGACCAGAACCTGCGCTGCCCACACACGCCGAGCCAAAACCCTGAGCGCTCAGCGGAGAAGAGCCGGGACACAACCAGGAGACTGGACATAAACATTAAACCCTCTCAATCCAGAGTCAGGGCATGAACCAGAAACTTAACTAAAACTCATGGAACAAACATGAATAACTGACATGAATTAACTAAGAAAACACAAATAATGATCTGGCCCCGATAGCTGGGCTCAACCGTATATATAGCAGAGGAAGCAGCAGAATAAGATAAATGATAATTAAAGAGCAGGGAGGGTACAGCAGGTGAATAAAGTGAGTAATCAGATAAGCTACCAGGGCTGAGATCATGTCAATTGAAAGGCAACCAGAATTTTGCTCAGTTTTTTTTAAAGACATTTCTACACATTTCTAGGAGTCTTTGTCAATTCTGTTGGCTCGTACCAGAGCAATCTCTAGTTGGAGCGCTGATGTATTTAAGCATAGAGGTCCATCCTCCTGCACAAATTCCAAGTCAGAGGCAAATCAACTAGCTGTCCCTAGTTCTTCTGGACTGTCGGGGCCCTTCTTGTATGTGATTGGTCTTTTGAAGCAGGTTCTCATTACCCCCTCATCTGATCCAACTGCATCAGTCACTGTATAACCAGCCTTCAGACCAGTCATCAGTGCCAGATTATTTCAAGCAGTTGGTGAGGCTTATTCTAGCGTTACTCTATTTGACTACCTGATCCTGACCTGCTCTCCCTCTTGACCTCTGTGCCTGCCTTTTTCCATCTGATAATTTTTCCTGACCTGTCTTCTGACTCCTACCTGATCTCTGCCTGCTTGTGTGCCAAACCTGGAACTGTGACCCGACTCCGTCCTGGATTCTCCTTTGGTACCACACCTGATCTCTGACCTCCTGGCTCTGAAAGCCAACCCGTCATCAACATCAGCTTTGGCTTTGCCCTCTGGAGCATCCTGCCTACATTTGCCTACTCGGCTGTAATCTCCTGCCTGTCCTCTTACCACCGAAACATCAGGGTCTGGGACTGTCTATGTGGCCACGTTGGCAACCTGCCGGTGTTCTGTCAGCACGCATACCGTGTCAGGCCAGCATACCCATAATTATACGCATGTGCACAACGTGAGATTTACATACACATTTGGAAATGCGTATGCTAGTTTGACATTATAAGTGTCAGCTCAGCATAGCTCGTCAGGCCAGCATACCCTATAGTAATACACATTGTTTCAAAAAAAAAACCAAATGACTCAACTTAACTTTTGTGGCATGTTTATAGACGTAAATTATCAAAAGAGCCTGTAAGGCTTCTGTTCATCCACACAACCTCCAAATCTCTTTTCTGTAACATAGATTTGACCCCCAAATCTAAAAGAAGAAAGAAAAAAATTCAAAGCACCTATTTTATCCTGCTTGCTCATATTAACATTCACTCTAGTATCTCAATTTAAGTGAGATAAAGCAGGTCCCAAGCTAAACCTTTCCATCTTTCCACATCATAAGTGCATCATATTCACATAGAAGTGTAGATTGGTTTTCTTGCACATCAAGTAATTTATAGTGTTGTTGTTTTAAGCTTATTTACAATAATCTTTTTCTGTTTGCTGCATGGTCTTAGCTTTAAGGCAGCTCAATGACTCAATTCAGCTCCTTAGCTTAAATGTGTCTTTTGTATGTGCATCTATTCAGACTCCACAGAATGGTTGCCGAGCAGCATTATCAGTCTAATTAACCCCTATTTAACTGCATTGGATTTTGTACCCGTCCTTCATTTGCCAGCTGCAGGAAGGTGTTTTCAGAATCAGGTGCAATTCAGGCGCAAAACTGGTGACTAAATGTTGCTTATGTTGAGCTGAAATTTCTTTATTTCTTTACTTTGTACACTTATGTCGAAGCCTATTTTTGCTCACCTCATCAAATGAAAAGGGGGAAAAGCTTCATGTATGAATTCAGTCTTAGTCAGTGTTCTGGTTCCGGTAATTTTATGACAACATTAGTTTGCTCTTGTTTGCATGTACTCATTCCAGAGAGCAAATCATGATTCATCTCATGTAAGTTTTAACCCAAGGGCTTGTTTAGTCCTTGTTAATAAATTAAATAATAAATCAAATTGAAATGGAAGGTGCCACTTAGATATTTTTAAGCATGGTTTCAAAAGCCTAAGAGTTTTTTTCAGGAGCCCTTTAAAGTAAGGGTCACTAATAGGAGGATCGCAGTCTGGATCCGGACCAAAGTGATGCCTCACGTGGACCCGAAACTGATACCAAAACAGTATCTGTCTGGTTTACCGGCACTGCTTTTATAGCCCTTTCAGTAGTGGTCACACATCTAAGGAAACCGACCAATTCATGCTAAGTTGTCTATACCACGTATTACCACTGTCTGTCCTCCAGACAGCGAAGAAAACAGAAAACTGATTGCAGAGACAAATGAGAGAGAAATGGGTGGGGGGGGGAGAGAAATACAGTCATACAAAACAAAGGAAAGGGCTGAGACAGCAGATCATGGAAACAGAGAAGGAGGGGAGAAATGGACACAAGTAGGAAAGGGACAAATGGCGGCGTCTAAAAAAACAGAAAATTCGAATGTACAGTCCGGCAGGTGGATGAGATGAGTGATGATTAGGAGCTGGGCAAAACTAGCAGGTGAGTGAAATGATGACATTTCATGACAGGAACAAGCATAAATGTAGCTACTTGAGTTGACTTTGGATCACGTCAACAACTAACCACAAATTATTAATTTAATAATCATTAACACTGGTTTGGTAGGGAGGGGGCCACCCTCTTCCTGCTTCTGCAGCCTTCATCCCAAACCGTATTACTACAGTCCATGCAAACGGGCATGCTTGCTGAAGTAGATTGTTTTTTTATCTAAGCCAGAAGTAACAATTTGGCATGGACAGAAATGCATCACTAGATTTTTGGCAAGTTTGTAGAGATTTATTCCAAAATAATTTATTTGTATTGGATATGGTGGCCATCTTTATCATAGGCAGCAATCGTGAAATTCCACTGTTCCAGATGCTTTTTCAAAAGAGAAATGTGAATGCAATATCAGCGCCTTATGTATGTGCAATATGTGTTGCATATATCATCATCTGAAATATTCCTCTGAAATATTATGTTATCTGATACTCCACTAAAGCCAAACTGACTTCCCATGCCTCAGCTAATGGGACAGTTTGGGATTTAACAATGGAAAAAAAAGACAGCATGACTCTTTCAAGATGAAAACCCTAATAACCTTAAATATATATAAATCCATTTGAGTCTAATTTTTGTGAAACAAACTTCTTGGCAATCTAAAGACTTGAGGAAATCATGCTGTTGATTTATGAGACCAGAGTGGAACTATTTAGAGGTTGTTCAGTATATTGTCATTAAGCTGACACAGGAGGAAAAGAATCAGAACATCTTTCTGACATCAATGGTAGTATCCTGTTCTTGTGCAATTTTATTCCTTCAGGATTTACACAACTTTTTGATATTAATGAAACCATTACCTTCACTGGTTAAATAAGAATCCTGATGGATAATACCTGGCCGTCTATTAGTTATGCACTGAGAAAATTATCCAAAATAAACCAGCCAATCCACCTGCTCAAAAAATGCACCCTTAAGGTTTCGAAGATGACAAAAAAATATCCAAGTGTATTTGTCACATCAGCTGCTGTGACCCTCACACCTGCAGGTCATTCCCTGATCAGCAGTGGACCCAATATAAGGACGGAGCCTCCACCTGCTCGCCGTCAGATTGTTGTCTAACCCCTAGTGGTAAACACTCTCAGGCCATCTGTCTGCTCAAGTCTAAGTTTTGACTAAGCCAAGTTTGTTCCCTCTCCTAAACCTGCCTGTTTTCTTCCCCCAGTGTCTCGTCTGATAATCTGGACCCTCATCTTCGCTTGTTATCTTGGACTCCCTGGTGACGACCTCCTGCCTGCCCGACCACAGATTCAAGGATTGCCCCCAAACTCTGACTGGTTTCACGGATCTGACCCTTGCCTGTCTGACCAAGAGTAAAATAAACCTCCTAACTGTGCCAACTGCTCTGTTTGTCCATCTGTGCCTGTAGAGTGTGACAGTACAATCTGACCAGACAACATGGACCCGGCTGAGCAGCTGCCTGCCCCCGCCTCAGAAGTCCAATCCCTGAGGGATCTCATAACACGGCAAGGGAGAGCTTTGGGACAGAGCGAGCACAGGCTTACTGGACTGGAGACAGCAAGCCAGACCATTCACATGGAGCTCGCACAGTTGACGGCACAGGTAGCACACCTCACATCTTTGCTTACCTCTGTTGCAGCTCCACAACCGCCTCTAGTCCCCCAGGCTCCAGCACCCGAGGTTCCTCAGCCACAACCGGCTTCTCCTTCGGTTTTTTCCCAAGCCGCAGCCCCATCTGTGAACCACAGAGGAGCGTATGTTCCTGATCCACCTCCATTTTCTGGTGAGCTCTCCAAATGCCGAGGCTTCCTGCTACAGTGCCAAATGGTCTTCAGCCAGCAACCCTCGGCTTTTGCTTCTGACCTTTCAAGAATATATTATGTTATGGGTTTGCTGCGGGAACAGGCTCTAGCATGGGCGCTTGCTTTCTCTTCCACCAACCCTCTAACATCTCTCACCTTTGCTCAGTTCTCCTCCGAATTAAGCCGAGTGTTTGATCATCCTGACCATGCTGGAGATGCGTCAAGGCGCCTATTAAAGCTCCGCCAAGGTCCCCGAAGTGCTGCAGAGTTTTCTGTGGATTTCCGCACCGTGGCAGCCGAGTCCGGATGGAACGACAGATCTCTCAGAGGAGTATATTATAACGCCCCAAATGAAGCCTTAAAGGATGAACTCTCCCTCAAGGAAGAAGCAGCCGATCTTAACTCTCTAATCACCCTGTCAATCCGACTAGACAACAGGCAGCGTGAGCGACGCAGAGAGCGGAGCGGGCGACTTCCTGTTTCTCGGTCTGTCCAACCAGTCATTGGGGCCCACAGCGCCCCCTCTGTCACTTCCCCAGAACTGCCGCCTACCCCTGAGCCTTCTGGTGGAGAACCGATGCAGATTGGAGGCACACGTCTGTCAGCTGCAGAAA